AAGCGATCTTCGACGTACCGCTACGCCATGATCCATAAAACAAAGTTTTTTCAGATATTTTTGGTTCAATTTGACAAAAAACAATTTATGATTTTTCAAAAACCTATCTTGGTTTTCTGGAGACCCGTTCTCGGCGAAATCTCACTCCCCCCCGCGACGGCGCACATATGCTTCCATAGATCTTTTGATGCTCTATCAAATGAAATACTTACCGAAGTTCAGAGTTCTCTATTTATGGAGTTTTTGAGCCTGGAATACTCGGCTGTTGAAAAGGGTTTCCAGAGATCCGTCGTTCTGAGACGAATCCAAAAACTTTTAAAAAGTAGTGATTCTGATAGCCCTGATGATGAGGAATCCAAATATATCATCAGAATTTCTATAGCACAAAGTAGTACAAAACTACGTGTGTTACAAAGAATAAGGTACTTTAAAAAACCGTTCCGGAGGGTACTTGGTATTTGGGCTACAGTTCTTCAACAAGACGTCCTATGACTTTTGTCCAAGAACAAAAAAGTCTTAGAACTGATTATTACACAAGCCCTGAAAGTTTCAAACGTCTTGGTGAATGTTGTGTATATCGTGTCACAAGTACCATGGAATCACCCATCTACATTGCTTTTAATAAATTTTCTGGTGATCAAATGAAATTTTTTCTTTGTTAAGGCTTTGTAGTTGTTATAGAATATACATTTAAACAGCGATTTCCTCAAATCTACATATGGAAACCAATCGGATTCGTTGTAACATTTATTTTTAATGGCATTACTGCTCGTTATTTTCTCCGACCATGGATACCTCTTTTCCAACGAAAACATGCATTTAAATACTCTTGGATTAATCTCATCGTACAAAATATATCTATTAAATATCGATAACTCTTTGTTGTATAATTTGATAATAATAGAAAGAATTCAATCTGATTTTAGTTATGTTGGCATATGTTTTACTAATCAAGGACACTACGAATGGTACAAGGAGATTTTTTTCATTTGGGTATATTTTGTGGTTTTTTTTCCATCGATTTGTTAGTTTAAAAACAAAATCGTATTTTTCTATTGGATCATTTCGTTTAATGTCGACATGTTGCTTTTCTTATCTATCGTTAGTGGGTTTTTTCCAACTCTTTCTCTCTGTATTTAAGTTGTTTACAGGATGGTGTAAGGAGAGAAAGGAAAAATATAACGGCTTTGTAAGATAAAAAGCAAGATGAATCATAAATTGCCAAAGAACAGAACACGTACACATATATTTACCAGATTCTCATCGTGTAATAGACATATTTTATGGGGTACATTGTAAGAAAATTTCAAGTATACTATTGTGTTTTTGTCGACGAAAAAAAAAGTTGAGACAGAATCCCGTAAGTAAATAGTACTTCTACCTCAATCGCTTTTCATTTGAAAATCAATTCATTTGTTGTGCTGTAATTTCACCATTGAGAGAAAGATAACAATAATAAATATAATATCTATTTGATTTTTGATCGACAGAAAAAATTGCTTTATTTTTCATCTTATTTTAGAAGAATTTTTCGATATGGCCAAACGTTCGCCCGATATTTCAGGTCTCGATGATCGAGAAAATCAGATGGAAGTTTTCAAAGCTTTACGCGATGAGATCAGTGAATTACAAAAGAAAGAAACAGAAGTTGACATTAATTTACAAGAATTACTCAATCAACAAAATAAACTCATTGATAAGGAGCAACAATCTTTAACCAAATTATCCGATATAAAAGATGAATTGACATTGAAAAAAATACAAACAAAATCTCTTAACGATGAAATTAATGAAGCACGAAAACAACAAGAGAATCTTTACGATGAACTCGATCAATATAACGAACCAATTGAAAAAAAAAGTTTCTCGAATGAATTGAATGCAGATTTAAATCGCGAAACTGATGAAGAATGTTGTCTCGATGAAGAACATCAATTATTACTTGAACAACAAGAAGATATCGATAAACAAATTGAAGATGATGAATACAAAATCAATATTTATCAAGATGATCTTGAAAGTAACGAAAAACAAATTGAAATTCTTCAATCACATATGAAATATCTTGAGCAAGATTTACAAGACCATCAAAAGAAAAAAGAATCAAAAGACAAAGATCTTTCAGAATCACGAAAAACGCTGATTGCAACCGAAAAGAACGAAAAAAATGATACAGAACAACTTCAACATCTTCAAGAAAAATCAGCTCAATTGAATTATTCGAAAACATTTATTGAAGAATTAAATAAAAATAAACGAAAAGGATCAGATCATATACCAGCACGTTTTAAAAATGAACTGGGAGAAATTGATAGTCGACAAAAAACTATTGCAAAGGAGATTCAAGAAAAAGATAAAGAAATTCAGGATTTAAGAAAAGATTCGGAAAGTATTACAACAGGAACAACAACAACAATCGGTTTTACAACAAATTCAACGACCTCAATGTGAGTTTCAATACAGTCAATGTCCCTAATAAGAACAGATTTTTTGGAGGTCGGAGTAATTCCTTTGCTACTAAGTCATTTCTCGTGGTAAAAAAAGTTTTTTACATATCTGAGTGCAGAAATGTCTGCTGCATCGAATGATGTAAAAATCATCTAATTATCTCTTAAACTAATTAAGTAATTAGCGGTAGTTTGCGAATAATTGAATTTGTTCTTATTAGGTACACTGTTCCCAATAAGAACAATAACGCAAAAAATGTTCCTAATAAGAACATTTCTTATAAAATACATAGAAAAAAAAATTTTTTTAGTAAATCGACTTTTTTATTCTTGGAATAAAAAATTTCGATATACTTCTTTAACAAAAAATATTCCTCGTCACTTGATACCATTGAATCTCAAGGTTCAGATTTTTTCAATTTGTAATAACAAAGTTATTACATTTTTAAAAATAGCTCGCCTGTTCTTATTAGGAACACTGTTCCTAATACGAACAGTCAGCAAAAAAATGTTCCTAATAAGAACAATCTATGTAAAATACATAGAAAAAAAAATTTTTTAGTAAATGAACATTTTCTATATCTAAACTAAAAGATTTCTTTGTGATTCCGTCACAAAAAATGTTCATTGACTAATGACACGTTAATATCCAGCGGTTCGAAATAAACCGAGTTACTTTACGGTTTATCAGAACCATATCAAAATAGCTGTTTAAGAGTAAATTAATCTTTGAAATTTTAATAGATCTTGTGAGCTTATTTATATTCAAATAGGCTTAGTTTTACCATTTTGTATGTCCTTACTAGATAGATAAACTCAATAATATTGATTCGCTATTGATGAACGATTATGAAAACGAAAATATATCAATACTTCACCAATATTTATTGACTATGTTATAATACCTTGTAAATTATCATATATCGGTAAATATATTTCCAACGTTGGTGAATACGAAATTCATTCGATTTTACATAAATAAAATTGTATATTTTGGGTTTTAAATGAAAAAAGATTCAGAAATATTATTTCTTTTACGTCACGCTACTCGTAAACGATGAGCATTTAGAGTTCTTTGATAAATGAGATAAAGTTCATCTAGTTAATGAATGAAAAAAAACATTCGTTTACTCTCATGAATATTATAGAAAAAAACGTAAAAAAAATAACATCTTTGATAGTCAAATCTACACAAAAATTTGCCGTATTTCATCTTAATAAAATAAAAGAAACATTTTTTATTGCCTTACACATAAAAGATTTGCTTTTGTTTTTAAAATTATAAAAATAACTTCATGCAAATTTCGATTTTATTCAATAATATTGAAGTGAATTAATTTCTCTCTTTGTTTCATTATTTTAATGACATTTTTCGGTTTTAACATTTGAAAACCATACTGATATTTAAGAATGCACTTAATGAAGTAAAAAACAAAAGTTCTGATTCAGAATTAGTAATAAGAATCACGACTTGGGCTGGAAAAAAAGATGGAAAAATCAGATAAAAATTGATAATTTTTTTATTGAAAAAAAATAAAGATTAAAATACCTCTATTTGAACTTTAATAGAATCTGATGTTTTCCCGCTAATTTTTTTATTTCGTCTTATACTAAAATTTCTTATTATCATTATAATAGACTACTGCAATTTAAAAAATTTTAATGGATTAATAAAATTCAATCGATTGGATGAATAAAATGTCTTCAAATTAGAGAACAAAATAAGATTATGAGTAAAAACTTAATTCTATTAAGATAGTGATGTCATTTCAATAAATTGGTTTTTCAAAAAATAATCGACTTTAATCTTTTTTTTTCATGTTTCTACACAAAATGTGATAGAAATATAACAAAGAAAACGAAATGTATTTAGTTCTTTTACTGTGATCTTATTGATCGTGAAAAACTAATTTTGTTCACGGTTTTAAGTTTCTTTTTTTTCTTTTCGTGACACTAACTGTATTGATTGACCATGTATGATCGACTAATTACAGCAATAGAAATATATTTGGGAAGAGGATTTGCAACGTTACTTTAATCAGCAATAGAGAAGAATGAGTATCATGAACTCAGTAGGATCACAAGACGTTGGATTCAAGATTTCGTCGATTTAATGCAGTCGAACAGAAGAAATTAGACAATGCTTAGAAATATATTTCTATTGCAGTGATTTTTTTCTTGTATTTTCATTAGAATATTCATTTTTCATGCATATACGATAGTTTAAGGCAACCTCTGATAACACATTTGAGTTATTTCTAAACGTAATTCGACAAA